AAGGTGAGGATTTTTTTTTGTTTTTGTTTTATGCTGCACACACACCCCACATTCACCCTTTGAAAGTGTTGGCCCTGTACTGTATCTCCTATCTAACATGGTCTTTTTTTTTTCTTGAATACGCCGTAGGCTACACAACTGTCATAGAAACGATGCTTGCGCGAAAGATTATTCTACAACCCATTGTCTCGATCTGGATGGGAAGGCAGCGGGTGGGAGGAGCGACCGAGGGTTCTGGCGGGGCGGTGATTTTCGGTGGCGTCGATACCACGAAGTACGTCGGCAATTTTACTTGGTCGCCCATCACTGACAAGAATGCGTGGAAGATCCGTCTTGATGCTGTCTCTATTGCGGGCAAGGATCTGGGACTTTCTGGAGAAGCATTGATCGATTCTGGTATGTGGTGAACTGTGCACAATGGGTTGGCCACATTATTTTTTTGCTCGATGGATGAGCGTTGCTGATAGCTAGTGCTGATTTCCCCCCTTCCTCCTCCTCTTCCCTTCCTTTTTATTTTTTCGTTTGGTGTTGTAGGAACGTCGTTGATTGTGGTGCCCTCAAAGGCCGCTTCGATCTTCCACGAACATATACCAGGCGCGATTGAGGCGCCACAAGTGGGGTGGATCTTACCATGCAACACCAGCGCTGGCGATCTCAACTTTACGATTTCAGGACAGCAGTTCCGTGTCCCCGCAGAAGAGTTGGTTGTGCTGTTTAGGATTCCCGGATACGCAGAGTACTGCAAGAGCGCTATCGATGTCGCCGGATCTGCAACAGAAACCGTAAGTTGTACTACGGACTCGTGTGTTTCTGGATTTTTGAACTATGTCATTGACAGAGTGTTAACGCGTCGTATACTTTTTTTTTATTTTTTTTATTTTTTGTTTCTTGATCATACCTAGGATTGGGTTCTCGGGGCATCGTTCTTGAAGAACGTGTACAGTGTCTTTGACTATCGCAGCCTGGCGGTCGGATTCGCTCAGCCCTCGAATGTGTACAACACCCTGACGAACATCACACTGCTGCCTAACCTGTCCAACCCTCCACAAGGACAAGGCAACGGAGGAGGCGGGAACAGAACCCAGGGGACCGGCAATGGGTCGACTGGCGTGAACGGATCGGTCCAGAGGATGGTTTCAGGGGTAGATATTTAGCCATGCATTTGTTTCTCTGCTCTTCCCCCCGGTCTTTGGTTTCTGTAAATTGTGTTGCTAACCATTGTCACTCTTATGTTTTGCCTGCCTTGTACTTTCTGATAGAACCACATTCTTTTCTACACCTACATGGCTGTGATCGTATGTACGATGCTGCTCTCCGAGCTCTAGACGTCCATATGCTTCTACCTCACGGCTGCACGGAGCAGATTAAATAAACTATAGATGGTCACATCACTCCTCCAGCACGCGATCCGTCGTGAGTCAGGTCGATGTGGACCTGACACACCTTCCTGTGAACAAACTTTAAGGGCCCTCGCTCAACCCAGGCTGATGGCATCATCTCTTTCTTCTCTTCTCGCTTTTTCTTCCTTCATCTCATCTGATCGACCTGATCCCATCCCTGGAAAGCTACATAATAAGCACCACACGCACAACGCACTAGTGCCAAACGCAGCAACGCAGCAAACAAAGCAATCGAACAATCATTATAATACCAACCCTTAGATCGTCCACGCCAGTGAGCAATTGTACAATTACCCCATTAGTCCTCCCCCCACAACTGCAACAAGCAACCATGGCCACCAGTCATATCACCCCCACCGCAGGTGTCCGTCCTGAACAGGCGCCCCTTGGATCCCCAGTCCCTAACGTCCCCCATGCCATCTCGGTTTCCCTTCCCACCTTCCGAGACAACGTCGACTACGAAGAGGCTGCGCCTAGAGTCGTCAACGCCATGGTCTCGGGCTACCCCCGCTTCTTTGTCGCCCTCAAGGTCAAAGAGGTATGTTTTCTAGAACTGCTTTCAGCTACACAATGCTACCGGCCTTTCTTTCTTTCGGACAGATCGAACCCTTAAAAATGTCCGTCGACAGATCCTTCTGTACCACCTCACAAAGCTTTTGTAATTCATTCCTCTCTCTCCCCACCTTCTTCCCCTCAGCTTGTCGAGATTTGCGAGAAAAAGTACGGCAAAGCTACGGAAGCCTCGTTCCTGTGGCCATCTCGTCGGGTTGCTGAAAGATGTCGCCACTTTGTCGAACGCTACTACGTGCCGACGATGTCGACGGACGATTCGACTCCGACACCCCGCCCGCTCCCAACCGACGCTTCTGGTGCTGTGGGTGCGGGTGCGGTCCGGATCGTCGAGTTCGCGATCTACGCTCCGGCTTCGGAGGTCAAGCCCGGTGGGATCAAGCAGGTCAAAGTGTTTGCGACCTTCTTCCCCAAGGAGGCCTATCCGGTCGCGAAGCAGTTCTGGCAGCATACCGGGGATATCGTCACCTCGCGCCAGGCAGCGTTCTGTCTGAGATGGTTGGCTCTCAAGGCAGAAGAGGATCAGCAGGAGGCCACCGCAGTTGCGGCCAAGGGTAACGCAATCCGTATGCCCCGCGGCAACAGACATTATACGGCCGCGAAGCAGCAGCAGCAAATTACAGCAGATCTTCCCGCGGCGGTTGCGGCGATTCAGTTGCAGGATGAGGAAGATCGACCGGTAGAAGAGGAGGCGGATGGAATGGACAGTCGCGATTATGAGGTCTATGTCGAGGAACGTTATGGACGTAACTTGGATCTATCGTTCGCGCCCAAGGCCAAGGTGGCGTTGCGCCGTCGTATTGCGAGCCAGGTTGCCCATCATGCTGGATCCGGATGGACGGGCACAGGAGAGTACGTGACTGAGGAGGACGTGTACCTGTATCCGACGGGAATGTCCGCGATCTACAATGCGCACCGGATCGCGATGACCCTCTTCCCTGAACGCAAGGCGATCTGCTTTGGATTTCCGTATACGGATTCGCTCAAGGTGCTGCAGAAGTTTGGTCCTGGGTGCTACTTTTACGGGAATGGAGAGGATCACGATATTGAGGTGTTGGAGAAGGAGATTCTGGAGAAGACTTTGGGCGAGAATGTGCCGGAGGAGGATAAGATTCTGGCAGTCTTTTGCGAATTCCCTTCGAACCCGTTGTTGAAGTCTTCGAATTTGGTGCGTCTGGGGCAGTTGGCGGATAAGTATGGGTTCATGATCATCGTGGACGAGACCCTCGGGAACTTTGTGAATGTCAGGATTTTGGAGTTTGCGGATATCGTGGTCTCGTCCTTGTCCAAGATCTTCAGCGGTGACAGTAATGTCATGGGTGGAAGGTAACCAGCACCTTTTTCTCAAGTAGTCTGATATTTTTTTTTTTTTTTTTTACTAACTGCTGTCGATGTTACTGATGAATGATCTTAAATTAGCTTGGTGCTAAACCCTCAGCGAAAGTACTACAAGGGATTGAAGGAGGCCATGGGTCGCGAGTACGAGGATCTGATGTGGGTTGAGGATGCCATCTTCATGGAGCGTAATTCTCGTACGTTCCAGACCCGTATCGCGCGTATCGACGACAACACCGAGGCCCTCTGCGACTACCTGCGAGCCCACCCCAAAGGTATGCATGCACAGCACCGAGAAGGAAGCTTGAGATGTTTACGTATAGATTTAACACTGACGATCTGGATTATTCAACCTGGACTATTAGTCAAGGAGGTGTACTACCCCAAGTACGTGACGACTGCGAACTACTTGACGCACAAGGTCGAGGGTGCTGGATATGGCGGTCTGTTCTCGGTGACGTTCCATGCCAAGAACGGAGGCCCAGAATTCTTTGACGCCTTACCCTTCTACAAGGGCCCCTCACTCGGCACGAACTTCACGCTTGCTTGTCCATACACGATTTTGGCGCATTACTATGAGCTGGACTGGGCTGCTCAGTTTGGAATCGATCGTAACCTGATCCGGGTTGCTGTTGGACTGGAAGACCGGGAGGTGTTGTTGCAAGGGTTTAAGGAAGCCTTGGATGCTATCAAGGAGGATGAGTGAGCTTCGAGGGTGTAAGCGCAGGCGGTCGGTAGTTGTCCATGTTCGCGTCCTTCAAGATAGATCTTTAGATTTGAGGGTTGCGACGGAATAGCATAGACACAAGTTCAATACCGCAAAAAAGTACGCGTCGCGCTCGATCAGACGGTATGAATTACATGACATGTGTTTTCCCCAACCACTGCGCAAAGGAAGAGAACAGTGAGGGAAAAAAAGGGATTTGTGTCCAAGTGGCTTTTGGAGTGGGTGCGCCAACCCTTTTGGGTACTGCTGCTGGGGAGAAGCACCTCTTTTGAGTCATCACACTCCCTTCGCCTGCGTTCATTCCTTTTTAAAGAACACTCTCTCTTTCTTCACTCCACTCTCCTTTTACTTCCAGCAAGACCAACTCCAGCCTCTCTTCCCCAACTCTTCCCTCCCTCTCTCCCCCCTCCACTCACAGGACAAACTCGTCTCTTCGCCATGACAACGACGGACTCAACGCCGACCAAGAGCTTCGTCTCATCCTCGAACCGCGCCAAGATCGCCGGCGGCCCCACTCCCGAGACACCCTTCCCTATCAAGATGTCTGGCACCGTCATCAAGGGCTTTGGACGTGGAAGCAAAGAGCTCGGCATTCCTACCGGTAAAGCACTTACTCTCAATTGCTTCATCTATCGACTTCTTTCTGAAATTCCTTTGTTATTTTGGCATGGATCAGTCTGAATCTGTCATAACTGACGATTGTATACAATTATACAATTATACTTTTTTTTTTTTTTTTTTTTTTTTTCAATGGATAGCCAACCTGCCCGAAGAAGCCATTGCTGCACAGGAGCGCCACATGGTCACAGGGATCTACTACGGCTGGGCGCAGGTCGTCGTCAAAAACAAGCCCACCTCCTCAGCATCAGAGAACGCCTCAACGACGACAGCAGCGACGACAGCAGCAGCAGCAGCAGGAGCAATAGCAGGACTGATGGGACTAAGAGGAGGAGCAACTCCAACGACAGCGTCCTCGTCCTCGTCCTCCTTAGCGACCCACTGTCCCGCCACCGTATACCCCATGGTCATGTCCCTGGGCTGGAACCCCTTCTACAAGAACGAGAAGAAATCGGCCGAGGTCCATATCATGCACAACTTCCATCGCGATTTCTATGGGGATGAACTTCGCGTCGTCGTGCTCGGTTATATCCGTCCCGAATTCGATTACACCACCCTCGGTGAGTTTCTTTTTTTTTTCTTTTTTTTTTGAGAAGTTTCATCTACTTTATTTCACTAACTACTTTACCTTTTCTCTCTCTCCAAAAAAAAAAAAAAAAAAAAAAAAAAAAAAAGAGGCGCTGATCGAGGATATCAACATCGACATCGACGTCGCACACCGGTCCTTGGAGAGACCTAATTATGCTACTTATAAGGAAGACCCGATTTTCTTGCAGCTTTAGAAAGACTCAGTTCCTTTTCCTTCTCCTCAAGCGATCGATAATAATAAAAAATACACTGGGGATATAGACACAAATCGACGGAAAAAAAAAAGAAAACTATGGTCGCCTACTGCCGATACACTTTGGCAATTGCACATGCATGCCTCTGCTCTACGCAGCAACATTTTTTTCCTTTCATTTTTATCTCATGGCATTTCTAGTTGTATAACACGAATATGCATGAACTGCCATCGTCGTCGTCTTCATTATTTTTTGCTTTCTACATACAGTCTCTCACCGCTCAAAAACGACCACAATATCCTTGCGCCTGGACCGTACCCAATTCCGGATCTGATCCCACTCACAATCCGGCACCAGGCCTAACGAGATCCACTCCAGCCGGATCCAATGCTGACATATCCACGCCATCTCCTGCTCACGCAACATTGGAAAGTTCGACCAGTTCATACTGAATGACTCCAGCTGCGCCAGTCCCGCCAACGGCTGGAGTCCCGTCCAGTGACTCGGCACAGTTTTGTTGCTCACGCTACCACCACTACTATTGCAATCACCGCTACTCTCGTGTACACCAGAACCTCCAGATGACTGAAGATCTCCTCCGAGCCCAAGCGTGCCACCGCCAACAACACCACATTCTACATCACCGCTCGATCCGCATCCTGATCTGTCTACATGTTTCCCTTTGCCGTTCGGTTTCTCCTTTCCAGATTCGTCCTCAGCTTTCTGCTTGCTCTTTCCTCCGAGTGACAAGAAACTCTTCATCTTCCTGAGCCCTCGCTGGGCCTTTGATTCGGTCTTGCCATGATGCTCCGGAACATCCAGGTCCTTGGTCTCATTATGCAAAGCCAGCGCCAAATCCGGGGTAGAGGACTTGAAGTACAGCGAGCGCTGACTTGCGCTCCCGACCCCGATCCCAAGATCAAACCGTCCGCCATGCAACTCCAGCCTCTTCAGTTTCCTTAGCCGTCCCAGTTGCTGAAACAGCACAAACGTACAGTACCGCGTATGATCATATCCTCTCGCTGCTGCCGCTGTTGCTGCCTTCTCCGATCCACCCCCGTGCCGCGACGACGACGACGACGATGACTGGCCTTGGTAATCCCTGTAATAGAACTGGAAATCCGCCGCCCGCTCAGCCTGGTAATCAAAATCCCGACCACTCCCTGCAGACGGGTTCTGGACGCCAATGATAAACGTCTCCAGTCCTTCACAGGCCCACCATCGCGGCAGCGGCTGCAAGTCCTTGGATGGCACCGAATCCGTTGTCGAAGGATCCTCACTCGTCGCTTGAACGTACCGATCATGTCTCTCTGCTGATTCGACCATATCCTCGATCCGTAACCGGGCCCGACTGGCCGAGAAATGCTTCAATGTCGGAACGTATCTCAGGAAATGGTCGATCGCTTTCGAACTCACTTCTCGGCAACACGTCAGATCCAGCCGTTCTAGATATTGGCAATGCTGTTGGAGCGTCTGAAGCGTCGAATCACGGAATCGGACATATCGGGCGTCGTACGAGAGTAGCGCCGGGTAGAGTTTGATCAGCTCGATTACAGGGTCGTATGGTGATGGTATTGTCGATGCTGCTGAAGATGGTCCCTGAATGTCCATGGTTCCTGCGACTGTAGAGATGTTCGTCATTACGCCTGCGCTCGCATTTCCAACCTCCCCAGCACCGTCGATCGCAGTCATGCCTGGGGGATCAAGCTGCTCCAGAGGGGTCTCATGAAAGATAACGATCCCTGCATGCATAGGGTCCTCCGGAATACCGTCGGTCCCGCCGGTGACATAATTGGTTGTGAGGTGCAAGTGCCGTATCTCCGGACAAGACTGAGCAACCGTGCTGAGGAACTGACGCGACCATCCCCAGTAGATCGTACTGAACACGTCTAATTCCTCCAGCAATGGACAAAGTCGCAATAGCCGAACAAATCCCCGTTCCAGCATCCTGACCTTCTTCAATTTGAGCACTCGAAGTGCCAAGGGACGTTGACGAGACCGCCTTCGTGTCGGCTGCGATCTTTTTTCTCCGGTTGATGCAGCCATTGTTCCACATCCCTTGGGATCAGATTTGCTCATGCTCCGCTGAGGGAAATGGGCGTACTTGATGTGCCACGATGTTCCTGCATACGCCTCCTGGCCTGGACTCCTCAGCTCATCCTCATAGTTCATATCATCGTCACTATCATCATCATCCGAGTTCAAGTCCCCTTCGTCCGATAACGACGGGTCAGCAAAATCAACCCTGCCAATCATGTTCCTGTCCACGGACAGGTACTCCAATTTCGGACACGTCCTCAAGACCTTATCTAGCCGGATCTCATCCTTCCATTCATAACATCGCAAACATATATCCAGATACGTCAGCTCCGGTACGAACGGCAAGATTGCCTCCAGGAACGTCTCCAGACGGAACAATCCATTGAGTGTCAGAGATGTCAGCTGCGAGCGATGAAGTAAAGGTGCAAACGACAGGGGACGAGGAGCAGGCGACGGCAAGCCCGGTAATGGGTGCTGTTTGTGACCGTGGGCCCAGCGTAGTGGCAGAGGTTTGGGGCGGTAATGCGGCAAATCGGATGGTCGAGACATTGCGCGCGCCAGTTCCGCCAATGTCTGCTCGAGTGTGACGCGAGGTCTGCCTGAGAGGGTCGTCCCGTCTTCTGTATACGATCTTGAACCGGCCTCGTCCATCCGCCGATGCCGATCATTCGATCCTGATCCTGTAGTTGCTGCGGTAACTCCGTTTGCACTCGGTCCGCCTGCGGCCGTTGCCTGCTGCGACTGTGCCCCGACAGCGTTTGTATCGCTCCCCAATAGATTCCTCATCCTCGCGCGAGGTCCATTTGCCCAATAAGAAATGGATGTCGGGATATTACTGGTGCTGGTACCTTCAGGAGGTGAGGCCTGCACAGGGTCCGTGGGCGCATCCGTGGTCCTCATTCCGTATTCGAAGGTCAAACTTCTCACACGAGTCCATTGCCTGCATATCCTCTGATGCACCTGCGGAGACTGATAGTCCGTCCACTTGACATCTTTCCACAACAGCGGTTCGCCCACGTTATACCATAGCCGACAGACGCGCAAGAAAGCCAGGCGGGTGGAGACGGGTTTCTGGGCACGGATCTGGAGTTGGATGTCCGTGGTGGTGGTGAGGGAGGAGGCCGAGCTGGCGGGGGAGGAGGAAGAAGAGGCAAAGGGGTGGCGGTTGGCAGAGGCAGCGTTCTGGAACTGGAGGAGGACATGGAGTAAGACGAGCTCGAGGATCTCGGGGATGTTCAGGGGGTTGGTGGTGGTGTTGGATCTGTGGTTTAGGGATGGTGATGCTGGCGATAATGAAGAAGAAGAACAAGTGGAGGATGAGGGGGGTGGTTTGGGGATACGGGGCCCTGGTTTTGAGGCAAGAGTGGGGAAGGCAGCGAGCATGGGCAGATCCTTTGAAGAGGACTGGCGAGGGCGATGTGCCGAGGAAGACATGACGGCGCAGAGCGACTCTACAACAGAGAGAGAGAGAGGGACGAGGTGGGATCAGGGTAAGAATAGGGATGTGGCAAAGCACTGAAGTGTGCCAGGGGAAATAGGCTATTATGGTTATGGGATACCAGTCCGTACCTGGGAACAGAATAAAATACAAAAGAGAAAAAGAGAGAGAGGAAAGAGAGAAAGAAGGAAGGAAGGAAAGCAAAAAAGGAATGAGGAGGAGGAGGAGGAGGAGGAGGAGGGGGAATGGAGAGGACGGATGGGGGACGGAACGAATGCATGAAGGGAAGAGGGAAGGAGAAGAGGGCGGACGAATTATATAAACGAGAGAGAGGAAAAGGGCACGGTGTCCTCTGCTCTGCTGCTGCTGTCGCTACTCTTCTCCCCCTTTCTCTCTCCATGCATGTCCACGCCCATGCCCATGCTCATGCTCATGCCCATGCCCATGCCCATGCTGTATCCATATGATACCATGCCATACCGTATCCTAATGCAATCTTACCACTGCACCACTGTACCATGTTCATTAACCATCTGCCATTTACCGTTTACCGCGCGTTATCCCTTCCTCCTCCTCTTCATTTCTTATTTATGCATTTATCATTCCCTCCCACCTCTGTAGTCCAGGAATAAATAGACATACCCTCTCTATCTTTCTATCGATCGAGTCGCGTAGTATATATTACGTCTATCTACATCAAAGAAACAGTCGTCGCTGCCGCATGGTCATGGTCATCAACCCATCGTGCTTTTTTTTTTTTAACCTTGTCTTGTCTTTCCTTCTGTCGTCCACCACCACCACCACCACCACCACGTACACGACACATCACGACGGACGGACGCAGACTACGTGGACGCATGTATGCATCAGGCCAAACCTTAGACTTGATCTACTCCATTTATACCATGTGGTCCGTTGTTTTTCTCAGAGCAATTGGGGGTTTATTTGGCCTGGCCCTAAATTGCATTTTTTTTTTCTTCCTTCGTCCTGCAAGAAAACGTTCCTAGTTCATGCACTGCACGCACCCCTTTGGCCAATTTTTTTTTTCTCCGCGGCAGAAGTGGCGAGCGGGCTTATGTTTACAAGGATATTAATATTAGTCTACAGGGAATGCAGGACAGCATAGGGGGATGGAAACGAGATCTCAGCGACCTGGCTCACACATCAGACTTAGGCCCATCAAATACTCCTCCTCGCCCTGTACTGCTCGGATCACAGTTTCACCAAGGGTCGATCCATGCACGTTGCCGCTCGATCCTCCTCCGCCGCCTCCAAGACTAACGTTGAAGCCGCTGCCTCCAACCCCTACTCCTCCTACGCTCACCCCTCCCTTCCACAGCCCCGTACTCTTCGGCTTGCTCGTAAACTCGACCTCAATCACCCTCTGATGGACCCCATACAATCCTGACGCCTTCACCAGACGATGCTCCACAATCTCCGAGATCTTGTCCAACGGTCCACTGGAGCATTCAAAAAACGGCCCACTGCCTCCCCCACGACTAGTCTGGACTGAGCCCTCAACAGAGCCGCCCAAATCGCTCGGGTGACCTCCATGGTCGAGCGAGGGCGAAGTCGGTCGAAACACCCGAGCCTGTCGCAGGAGTTGTGGCTCAAACCAGTAATCGACCGATTTGGCCATGTCCACCGCGTTTTCGACATACTGTGTCAGCCGCCTAAACTTGTCAAAGTTCACCAACTGAGGCCCCTCCGCATCTGCCTTGCTATCGAGGCATCCGCTGCTGTTGTTGTTGCTGTTGCTGTTGCTACTACTAATGTCATTACCACCACCACCACCGCTGCTCGGCAATGAGACTGCTTTTGATACAGACCCGGAGCTCTCATCATCGTTGACAGCCACTTGACTTGCTCCCGCATGGGCACTCCCACCTGAAACAGGAGGTGTCTGCCCGGGTGGGTTGAATTTCGACGCTATCATCGTCGGGTTACCGTCCAAGATGAACGTAATGTCTTTGAGCAGAATCGCTAATGAAGTCATGGAAAAAGAAATTTACGCGCGTCAGATTCTTTCCGCTTTCTTTTTTTTTTTTTTTTTTTTTTTGCAAGTCGATGGGAATCAATCTAGATCTTCTATGCAATAAGATGCATAGATGGCACTTTTTCAGATATATACATATAAAACGAAAAAAAAAAAAAAAAAAAAAAAAAAAAACATACGCAAAAATGGAATGACAGGCAATGCCTCCACTTCCGAGATCGCTTGACGGTAATTTCTCATGTTGCCCGAGGGATCGAGGAGCTTCTCCAACCGTCTCAGCGTCTCCATATCCCTGGACGAGACCATCCTCCAGGCCAAATTCAGGCGGCGGACTGGCGTCGAGATCAATGCAGATACAATAAACATCGCCGTATGCAGGTTGTTGAGCTCGCGACAATTCTAGAGAGATTAATGGCGTTAATTTCCTCTGTAGTTCATATCTCGCTCCTTCCCTCCTCTCCCAAGAGTTTATCCATCTATCATTATCTTGACTGCTGCAGTTTTACCTTAGCGACTTCAATGAACTTCTTGATGAGCTGCTTTCGGGTCTTAGTCCCTGCGACGCTCACAATCTCATGAGCAACCCAGTAGCTGAGCTATAAAGTCAGAAATACACGACTGTCTGGTTAGCATACCTCTGCATGATTTTTTTTCTAATACTTTTTGAGCAAAACAATACGGCTTATGCTTATAAGTCGACTCTACCATATTTGCGCGACGCGTAAAGGCCTCGATCGCTCCGTCGTCTGCAAACTCGACCTCGGCATTCAGCCCCGACAAAGATCTCCTGGGCTCGCTCTGGGATCCATCTAGACCCTTATTTGCCATTGCCTGGCGCCTCTTCCACCAACCCGACATCAATTCAAACACCGTGATGCTTCGAAAGGCCTTCATATCCGCGAGCGTAAGATATCTCGCCAGTTGAAGCGGGTCCAGTTGAAGAATCGGAGACGTCGCCTGGAGCTCCGGAGTCGGTCCAAACTCGATCATATACACCGCCACAGGTGATGAGATCGGTTCCAAAGGCGCCGTCAAAAATCCAGGTGAAGACGAGGATCGGTTGGTACGGGACCGATTTTGGGATTTAGACAGACTGAGCTTTCGTGTCCTTGATCTCTGCAGATAAAATCGGCCCTGCTCCATGATAACGCTGCAGTTCTTTTTCGGAGAAAGACTCTGTTATTATTTAAAAAAAAAAAAACTCCCTAACTTAGTACAGTGCATGGTTCATCACACAGTCAGCAGACGCACATGCTCTGTGCTTTTGGCGTTAGGTGCCTACCCGCATAGTGATGTTCTCTTCAATGTCCTCTGCCTCAACTATGAATCCCCCTTGGCGTGCGTCGACCTCCAAGAATTTCTTGAGGGTCTGAAGAAGACACGGGTTCAGCTCAAAGTCCTCGAACTGGATCTGGATCCATCGCAAGAGAACGCAGAGAATCCTGTAGTAACATAATGAACACCATGTTAGCTGAAGGCAGCATCAACCGTATCATCGTAGCCATCGACGCAATATAGCCGCCACCACCTACTTGATCCGAATAATCGGTTGCCATCTTTCGAAATATAGCATCTCGCCTTGGCGGGGCTGGATATGGAACCGCGCAATCAACCGGTCCAGCAAATCCTCAGAATCGATAAAGAACGAATGCGACAATAAAAAGCAACTCACGTATTCGCTGTCTAGTAATGGAGAACGTTTTTTTTTTTTTTTTTTTTTTTTTTTAAAATGCCAAATGATACCGAGTTAAAGACCTGTAACCACCTAGTTCATTACTATTATAAAAAAATAAAAAACCTCTCCAGTTTTTCGTACCTTGCGTATTTTGGTCTGCAAGTCGCTCGATCAGCTTAGTCAGAAGACCCGCAACAACATGCAAATGTCCCTCACACATCTCCATGACCAGAACATCAACACCACTTTCGCAAATATGGAGCACCCGTGGCGAAGTAGAACTCTGGAGCATGTTCGGATGAGTCAACGCCCAATTATTCGTTTGAAGAGCTATAGCGAGTAAAATATAGCAAGTAAAAGAAACATCTCGTTAGATATCCTGATATATGAAGATCCCTCCTCCTCTCCCCCTTTCTTATAAGACGTGCATGGTATGATCCACCAGAACGCTAGTCACGACTTACGATGCGTCTTGGCATAGACGCGTAAGTGGGAGTACGGACTCACTCGCTTTGCATCCAGGTTTAGGATCTCCCATCTAAAAGCAGAAAAAATAACCGTGCGTTAGATCTTTTCTGTACCCTGAATAATTATTATGTAGGACGCGATGATCAACTTACGCTCGTTTCATATTGCTGAAGCGAGATGCAGAAACTGGTCTGCAGGCGACTACTGGAGCAGGTCGACTCTCGTTCGTGCCCGGATCCTTGAGATCTCTAGTATCCTGGTTGTCGGCACATTTTCCATTCTGTTGAGTACTGTCATGAGAGCTGGATTTCTGGTGCACCCGTCGAGGTGGATTATTCACGAAATCCGCTTCAGCGACATTTGGTCGGTCGATGTCTCTGGAGGACTCCAAAGTAAGCTGTCTTTGGCCCGAATCCTCATCGACCGTCGGCATCATTCGGACAGAGTTGTGGCTATTCGAATTCTGCGACGAAGAATGTTGCGACGACACACTTGTACGACGACTCAAAGCCTCGGACAGCGCTCTCTCGGCGCCGGAAGTCAAGGGACTCGAATGTCGCCGGGTCCCATACTTCTCTGACAGTGATCTGTACGATGAGGATACAGAGCCCGGGCGGCTTGACGCGGCCGAGTTCTCGCGCGACATGAACGGCACCATAAATTCAAATGAAGTCAGTCGAACAGAAGACCTGGGATTCCGTGCAAACTCCGCGGTGACAGGCGTCGACTGAGCAGAGCTCTCGGACGCAGCAGAGGTAAAAGAATCATATTGAAGAGCCTTCCAGCTCTTCTCCAGTGCGTCATTGTAGCTACGTCTTCGCCAAAACGCAGAGGGAAAGCTACTGTTGGAGGCCGGGATCGGATCCCGAATATCGTCTGATGGCATTTTGACCGAGTATCTGTTTCGGTCGTTTGCCATACGGATGCTCGTGTGCCGGGTAAAGGGTGAGTCCAAGGTGAGAGGAGTGCTTGGATGCGGTGAAGTACTCCTGGTAGCGAGGTACGAATTTGTCCTGCCGTCTGCGGTCAGCTTGACAGCCGTAGTTTCGTGCACAACCTCTTCGCCCTTTGGGAACGAATTTAATGGCAAAGCTGAGGGCGGCATCGGTGGCGTCGGTAGTATCGAGACTGGAGGCTTTGGAGGACGAACCTTGTAGTTATTACGCGACGATGGCTGTGCCTCTGAACTGGAGGAATAGACTGAGAAAGGTCTCGAGGCCGTCGGTATGGGGGTTGAGATACTTGCACCTGTAAAAGTGGGAGTCTTTCAAGAGGGATTTGGGGTTGTATCCGTCAGCATCATCTGCATTTTTTTTGCCACTGATCAGAAACATCTTCTGTAACGCATATTCTCCCTACCTGCGAGTTCCTGCGCTGAAGCAATTTCGAATGGCGCTTATCCTTGCTCTCATATTTGACAGTGGAGACTGGGGGCGTGTGCGTTTCCGTATCCATATGAGTAAAGTACGACGTACGTTCGCAAGTAGATTCAGGGATAGGTGGAGTGCTCAGCGGGCCTGCCCAAAATCGCGAGGCGCTCGTATCGACAGTTCTTTCAGAGCTCACGCTCCGCGACATAGGCAAGGCCTGGGAGTCATATACATAACTCGGTGGTGAGTCAATAGTCTGGGGAGAAGTTGGGTAAATGGAGCTCAAACCATCGTCAGATGAACCAATCCTTGTCGAGCCAGGCCAGTACTGCTTCGGCATGCCTGAAGAGCCCCGAGAGCTCAATCGACGGTGGCGTTGCTGAGAAAAGTCCGATATGATTCCTGGACTCTCAGGGGGAGAGAGCGCTCTAATGTAGGCATCATCCTCCCCAAAGGGAGAGCTTCCAGCCTCTGTGGGAGTCCAACCTGTAGAATCGTAGTCACTGTCAGAATAATCCGAATAGCCCTCGTTGTTTCCGTCTCCGAGAGGCGGGAAGATCGTAAGCAATGAGTTGGTAGAGCGTTTGGCAAAGTCAGAGAAGGATCGGCGGAATTTGTCCGCAATAGACTTGAATGGCGTCTTGCGCTTCAACTTTTTCATCAGGGCCGGATCGAGATGTTTGATAGGACGTGGTTCCTCTGACATGAAATCAATAGCAGAAATCTGTTTGTCGTGTCTAATCCTGCTGGCTAGCTCATCTTCTGCGATACTGCTGGGCAACAGTCCCTCCATACTGCTTCGCTGCGTTTTGATGGTGCCGACCAGTCGTTGAATCCCAGAAACGCACTCCAGAAACTCTCCCAACACGGTGACCAAACCATTGGCATGAAACAAGAGCGTTGGATATAGATTCTGGACAGAGAAAAAAAACGGTTAGAACATCGTCCGACAGCCTCTTGAAAACATGGAAGCAAAGAAGCAAGCAGTGCGTATGCAGCCTCACCTTCTTGATGTTCTCGTTTCGTTCAACTGCATCCTCCTCAGAGTCATCGTCACTGAAATCGGAGATATGCTGCACCGTTCCATACTCAACGAGAACCCGAATCTTGCGAATGCTCGACAGAATGACTTCGGTCTCTTCCCATACCCTGCCGACGGTAATCTGGTATCGCTCCAGCGCATTGGTGGCACCAAGTGTTACCAAAGATGTTGTGCTCGTGTTATCAGGTTTCTTCTCCTGTCCCTCCTTGCCAGCCTCCTGTTCCCATCGCGTTAGTAGCTCGAGGATCATGTCGTCATCGAAGCGCAGCACCTTTTCGTTCTGCTGCTCGCACAGTGCCCTGACTGCGTTCGTGAACGTATCGGCAAGCTCCAGTAATTTGCTGATCAGGACTTTGTTACTCTCAGCCATCTGAGGATGCGAGCATGGCTGTCCTGAGTTGGGTGGACTTGAAGCACTGGCGGCGATAGTGCTGAGGGCAGGTTCTCCAAGGGATGCAGTGTTGGTGGGTGATCGAACGGCGGGCTGTGCAACGTCCGTCAGCGATGGCTCAGGGGGCTGCAAAATACTTGTGGCAATTTGATAGCGCGTTGCGCTTATTGTCGAGGCCGAATTTGACGAGGTGGTCCGTGCACGCGTGTGGACTGGCGCGTGGACAGACGTCGTGGGAGTAGATTCACCGGATTGGGAAGGAGGATTTGGGGAGGGAAACAAAAGGGCGGGTGCATCCTGCGGTGGCGGTGAGGATGAAAGGGCTGTGGCCGAGTTTGCAGAGGATTCTGCTGGCTTAACGGGAACAGTCGATGGCGATGAAGCTGAGAGGGTACCCGGCGATGGGAAGGCCATTGGACCGGTCAGGTCAAGGCCCGGAGGAGGAGCTCTGGCGTTTTGGATGATGGGCTGCACGACTTGGAGTATCCCCATGAGGGACTCCTCCAGCAGCACGTAGTGGTTCTGT